TTCTCGTTTAGTATAACCTTTTAACCCGAAATCCTATTTGGGTTAAAAAGTCAAGAACTCAAACATTAATTCATTTGGATTACCGGAATTTAAATTATCAAGCTCTTGCAATACCTTGAAAATCTGGTTCAGGTGGTATGAATTATAGTACCAAGGCAGCCTCAATAGATTAGACTTGAATTAATAAAAATATATAAATATACAGTACTGTACAGTACCAGTTACAGTATATATATTTTTAGAACTACAGTATATGCACATAAAAAAGAGAGTTTATATTGAGTATAGTGTTTAAAAATGTGTGCCTCTATTGTTTGCAGTAAGACAACTCTCCAAAATTTAGTGGTAGAATAAGTAGAAAAACTAAATTAAAATTTGAGCAAAATTCATTCACAATTACCAATACAGGAGAGCAGATTATCAAGGTTCCATTTTATTTTCATTTGCTTTGTTTCCATTCAATACTTGAAACATTATTTAGCTGAAGTTAAAGTATTAGAGCTTTAGAGGTTTCAGCCTACACACAATTTACATTATGTATGTATGTATATTTGTGTGCATATATAAATATATATATACGTATATATATAATGCATGTACAGTATATGTAAATCACATTAATGTGTGATGTACATATACATTATGCAGACAAACACATGATTCCAGTTGTATAGAACATGTGTATATATTGATATACTGTATATATATATATATTTATAAAAAGAATGCATTAAATACTATAAGTACTGTACTAATATTTGAATCTTTCCTTCAGTGCATTTATTGCATAAATTGGCAATAAACTGTTTCCAGTTTCATATACATCCCAGGCAAATACAAGGTAAAATAACATGTCAGAAAATGCTGAGTCAATACAGTACTGTACAGTAAGTAATGCATTGAGGTGGAAGCCAGTGTTTTAAAAGCATACTCTGTGATCCTTATTAAATGAGGTTAAATAGCATCATAATACCCAAGTGGCTTATTTTGTGATTGTAATGCATTGTGTATTATTCAGAATTATCTTGAAATGTTACTCTACTGACATTTGTTTTTAAAATTTAATAGCAAATGTAAAATCTTGCTCACTCGAGTAGTGTGGGTATACCTTATCAGGGATAGATGATTGTGGCATCAAAAATGAGTAGATGTTTGTGGTTAAGAGATTGGTAATAGAAAACGTAAGTTGAAACTATAGAAACATAAAAAAGTAATGTTGGTAAAGGACAGTGTTGAGTTATTGGCTGCAATACTGTAAGGAAATTTTTTTCTATTGACCATTATAAAATAGTGTGAATTAAATCAAACTAATAATGCTAGATAACTATAATTAAGCCATGTTCAGTTCCTATTTTGTTAAAATTGAATGCATATTTAAAACTTAAATTACATCTTTAATACTTTGTATTGGTGCATTTGAGGAATGCTTCTTGTGTACTGGTGCATTACCATTATTGCAAATGAAATACTCATTGGTTCTGAATCTGTTAAACAGTGTGACAAATTTAAACATTTTACAAATTTGTGACCAGTTTAACAAGTTGACACACTGTCAAATTTTAACAAAGTTTTAAAATTAATTTTCTGGAAATTGTCGTTCATGAATTTTTGTAATGTCTTAAGAAAAAATGCAAGGAATCTTGTATAAACAAAATATTTTTAAGCACCATACATGTGCACAAAACCATTTCTCATAAAATTTATAAATTACTGTACTAGAGTAGCCCCAGATTTGGATATGTAAGGACACCATGATTTACTGTTTGAAGTGAACAGTCAAAAAGAGCCTGTATATTAAGACTATTGATCTTAAATTTGCTGTGTTTCATTACACCTGGTTTATTATTACTGTACGGTACGTGTTTTGATATCCCATAATCAACACCACCCCACCCAGTACAAGTAAGTAATTATCAAAAGAAAGCACCAAACCGGGAAGGCTATGTAGCACCATCAAATGTGTGGAATAATCAAAGGGCGCTAAATATCACCAAGGATGCCAATACGAGAACAGAAACGCGTAAGGCGAATGATATCAAAAGTATCCCATTCACCAAGAACTCTTATCAAGGGACAAGTGACCGCAAGGGACGGTCGGAAAGCAAGACACATGCTCGTCCTGGAAGTCAGGACATTCAACAAGGATATGCACGACTGTAAGAGGGACAATGCAATTTGGACAATACGGAGCAGGGCGGCGCTCCATACGAAGTGACCGTGAGTTAAGCGAGTATGGCCAATACGCAGCCTTGCCAGAGCTGTTTCGCACCACTGGTTACGGTGGCAGGAGGAAGGCCACTGGGACACACTACGCTTAAGAGTATGCAGTTTGTTACCAATAACAGAAGACCAACAACCCTGCCAACGGGCAAGGATGGAGGAATGAATAACTGGGTAAGTCGGAATAAGGAATACCTTTATGGGAGATGGGACAAGTGTGGATAGCTTCCTTAGTGGCAGCATCCGCATGCTCATTTAAAAGAGACACCAACATGGCTGGGAACCCAGCAAAACTACCAACTTAAATTTACTGGAGTTAAGAAACAGCCAATGTTGAATCTTGATGACCACCGAGTGGATCGAATTAAAGGACCCCAAATTTATGAGGGCACTATAAGAGTCGACTACCACCACAAAGGAGGATCGACAAGAAAACAGGAGACGAAGAACATAGGGAAGTACAAAATTTGGGAAGGGGGACCTTCCATGGGGGCAAGGACGGAACAATACGAGGAGAAACATTGGTAATACGAAGTGAAAGAGAATCTTGTAAGCGAGACAAACGGACAGAAAGGGGAAGGTGGTGAAGAGGAACAGGAACTACAGGAGGGGTAAAAGTCAAAGTACGACAGAGGCGAGAGTGAGGATGTTGTAAGGACCGTGCAAGATAGCGAAGACAGTAGCAATCACGGCAGTCCTGGAGAGATAGGAAGCCAGTGTCAGCGTACAAGCTGAGGGTAGGACTTGAATGAAAGGTACCAGAGCTGAGGCGCAACCCAGTATGATGCAAAGAATCAAGATGAAGAGTAGAAGGAGAAGCAGAAGAGTATGAAGGGCAACCATAATCGAGTTTAGACAGGACGAGAGAGGAGTGCAAATAGAGGAGCGTAATAGAAGGTAATAATTTCATCCACAAATAAGCACCAATACCCATCATGACGCCACAATTAGAGGATAGGACACCCACCAAGACGGTGCCTCGCAGGGGTACATCATGGGTATATGCCCAAGAATTGCCACCTTAAAACCGTCAGTCCATCGAGATCGAATTCAGCAATGATGTCGAGGATTGACAATAAAAGTGTTCCCTCGCTTGAAACGTCGATTACCCCAGTTATATGGGTAAGAGAATGTGCCTCTCCAAACAGAAGATATCTGAAAGAATAATCAAGAATGGCAAAAACTCAGCAGGAAATGACTTATCACAAAGAAGAATGGGGGGAAGGGGGGTAGAGAAATGAAACATAAGGAAGAGGAAAAGGCTTCCCAGCACAATTTGTGAAGATAGCAGCAGGAGCATAAGGCTCCAAAAGGACAGAGGACTGTCCCATGGAGTATCACACCCCAGCATCTGTCCATCAAGCAAACCCCCCCCCCCCCCTCACGACGATGGGCTGGAAAGGGGGGGGGGGTTGGACACTGCAAATTTAAGAATGGAAAATAAATATTTTCACAAAACATAACTTACCCCTTAATGGTGATACATAATTAGTGTTCAATTATTCAAACTTTATTTACAATCAAAAATACAATAATAATCACAATGAGCAGAAATCCTACAATGTTAGTTAACTACATAGGACTACACTCCACATTTACTATTTTACAAGATTTTTTTTGCTATTTTTAATGATTAAGGCATTAATACATGCATAGCTTATAAAAAACTTTAATATATACATACTGTATATATTAAAAATATATGTGTGTGCTCATCTAATTGTGTCTGCAGGATCGAGCATTGACTCTTGGATCCCGCCTTTCGAGCATCTGTTGTTTACAGCAATGACTATGGTCCTATTTCCCTATCATACCTAGTTTTAAAATTATGAATAGTATTCGCTTCCACAACCTGTTCCTTAAGTGCATTCCATTTTCCCACTACTCTCACGCTAAAAGAAAACTTCCTAACATCTCTGACTCATCTGAGTTTCCAGCTTCCACCCATGTCCCCTCGTTCTGTTACTATTCCAGGTGAACATTTCGTCTATGTCCACTCTGTCAATCCCCCTGAGTATTTTATACGTTCCTATTATGTCCCCCCCTCTCCCTTCTTCTTTCTAGTGTCGTAAGGCACAGTTCCCTCAGGCGCTCCTCATACCCCCATCCTTCGTAACTCTGGGTGTGTGTGTGTGTGTATGTGTGACAGTGTCAGACCATGGAGGAAGAATTGAAACAGGAATTTCCTCAAGTACTTTCGTATATTAATACATCTTCAGAAGGAATGAATGCCATTCATTCCTTCTGAAGATGTATTAATATACAAAAATATATTAATACTTGTTAATATATTATTAATAAATATATTAAAAAGTATATTAATAAAGTAATTATACATGCATACGTACATACAGTATATAAAATTATTTTCTTTTGATAAGCTCTGTGTGTATTAATGCCTTAATGATTATCTCACAAAATAGTACAGTATTATATATATATATATATATATATATATATATATATATATATATATATATATATATATATATATATATATATATTTATTTATTACATATACAATTATAATCAAATTCATAATGCAAAGTGATTTACTAATAGTCTATATAATCTTGAGCAAGTTCAACCACTAGTCTAGCCAAGATTATTAATAATCTACATCAAGCATCATCTGCAAACTTAAAAAAAGGAAACCAAAACATGAATCTGATCCACTTCTAGACCAACTGAAGTCAGTAATTCTCAAACTGAATTACATCAAATATTTCAAGATGACCTTAATATATATTTTCCATTCTGCCAAATAATTGAAATTGAGCTCTTTAAACTAAAAAAAAAATGATTTCACAGAGCTCGACATTAACATAAATACAATAGTTAAATTCAATACTGTACCAGTGACTTACTAATGAAATGACTCCATAAGCCATTATTACATTATTCTGTACACTTTGCAGATCTTTCCTTATCCAATGTAGGACAATGCATAAATAACCTTGTATAAACTATTTTTCTCATACAAACTGTACATTATGTAAACTTCCTTATCAGTCAAAAACAATAACACCAATGGTATTATATATCACAATGGGCATTAAACAGGAGCAGTTGCCACTAGCTTGTAGTCATAGAACTTATGAAGAGCCAAATGTCTTGATCAATATCTTAGTTGTAATGCCACGTCCAAATAATTAAATGATTATTAAAGTTCCTTGCAAGGTTTTGTGTACCAGTTCCACCAACTATTAGTTCTAATGTACCAAAGGCTAAAGATAAGGCTGCTTTACATATTTGTGCTCCATCTCAAATGCTACAGAAGCTTTTAACCAAACGTCTTGAAAACACCTTTAATGGGTTATCGATTTTTACGAGAACTATGGTGGTCGTTGGACGGGACTATTGTGTAGCTTGAGATCAGTGCCATTAGCACCCCTACATTACAGCAGAAAAAAGAAATACCCTCCAACCATATGGGTACAAAGGCATTTACAGCATGAAACTCTAGTAAATAGGCTGGAACAAGCCACGCCAATTGAGCCAATACCCACAACACTGTGAGAAGTGCCGCTTTTTGCCAGGTTACCGTCAGATGGGGTACTATTAGTGGCAACAGAAGAAGATACCATAAGAAATATTGTGATGTTACTACTTTATTAAAGGTAACAAATACTACAGTCTGTGTAAACATTCCAAAATAAACATCTGTATGACTACTGAATTTATATCCAAGTGCAAGTATTAGCATCATTTGAGGTCCAAAAGTGGCAACATTTAGCCCTGGAATATGAAAATCTGCACCAATGTACAAGAGAAAAAAATAAATTGAAAAATTGTGCCTGGTGTCTGTGCGGGAGAGATGATACAAGAAGGCTTCCTCAACATACTGTTCTCCATACATTGCAAATGCTAATCCTGTCAGACCACAAAATGAAACCATTGAACCTACCACTAGTTGAATTTTTGAAGAAGTTGGCATAAATTTACTCCAGACATGATGCTGATGTAAGTCACTGGTTAATGATAAGTACAGTGGAAGGCAATAGATGACTGGATATAGTTTGACATGAACCGACATTCCTAGGAAAATTCCAGCAAGAAAGGTGAACCTTATTCTCATCATATAGAGTGTAAGCAATACCAAAACTGCCATAATGGCTTCTGCACTTCCTCGTGTGGACACCCCAATTACTAGTGGGTTGTATAACCATATGAAGCAACACTTTAGAGCAGTTAATTTGCTTTGTCCACCCCGAATAAGTAACTCATAGATTAGTCTTGAAGCAATGCAATCTAAAACTGAGAAAAGCAATTTCCCAAAGGCAAAATGAATATATACATTAGGCAAGAGCACCCAAGCAAGGAACGGGGTGTACCGGTAGGTGTGTCGATCAAAAGGAGACCTTCCTGCAACTATTTCACGTGAAGCATCAGTAAAAACATGGTAATCAACATCTGTGTACTTGAGTGTGTTTGTTTTATCACGATGCTCACCATATGCAATAAATAATAGTCTAATAATAAACCCAAGGAAGAGATGAATCTGAATTACCTCTGCTGACCCAAATCGAGAACCTCTTGTACCTAGACCCATTGTCATAACCACTTCGTACCAATAAACAGTAAATGAACTTTCTCAGGACAAAATGTGTACAAATAAGCACCAAAATCACCAACTTTGAGAAAATACTTCAGATTTTTGTTTTCATCTTTCTAGCAGCTTCCATGATGCATTTCTTGAACAATGAAAATTCTGCAGCACAATCACCTTTAAGAACATTTTCCTTCAGTGCTACACAGCGAGCATATTCTACTGCAGTAGACCTACACTCGGCAACTAGCTTAGGGTACATTTGAAGACGACCTTGTGATTTTCTCACAGATTCCATTATTGAGGTCTTATATTTCAACCTCTATACCCTCGTTCTCCTTTTACTCGAGGTCCTTCTTTTCCTTCATTCAGGAAAAAGTCATATATGGGCTTGTTGAAAAACAGTAAAAGCCCTAAGCCTACTGCAGTAAAATGGAATTTATATGGGTTGAGCTGCGTCCAACGCTGAAAACGACCAATCTTCCTTAATTTTTGTGCCTGTAACCAAGAATAATCCAACATTACTTATATGGAAATAAGGTTAGATAATTATAAGGAGCAAATGCTTATAAAATATGAATGTATAGCACTTGAAACTTGAAAGAGGGTATAACAACTGGGATAAGAGGACACACTGAGGAAACTGAGCCTAACCACAAGGAACATTGGTACCAAATGCTGACTTGCAAGAAGTGAGACCATACAAACCCATCCAAGTGGATGGGGCAGAAGTAAGGTAAGCAAAAACAATTTCTGTAATAAAAGGTTTGTCTGACAACTCAAAGCTTTACTCCTGTCACTCAGCAAGAGATAAATGGGACGTTACTACCCACACTGATGCATGAAACAAGGTACAGTTCAGTACAGTATTTGTACTGAAATGTATTACAAACATGCTGCCTACACTTTACTGCAAAAAGATCTTATTGTGGCAATTTTATGTGAAACAGATACAAATAGGAATGCTGAATGTAATAAAATGCCTCTTATTAGCCCACACCTCTGCATCTTCCTAATGATTTCCTCTGATCATTACTGGACAGACATTCCCATGCTTGGCCTGCCTGGCAAGGCACCTCAAACACTTTCTGCCAGATACAAGGGCCTTGCCCATTCCCTGAGGTCAAGGAGCACATAGTGATCATACCATGTGCTCCAATTTCTCATTGTTTGTCGCTTGTCTCAGAGAAAGGCAAGGCCTCTAGTTCGTCTTCAAGACAGTAGGGTCGGAAACCTATACCTCTTATGAAACTATGATGTACACATCGTAGTTTCTATGATGTACACATCGTAGTTTCTATGATGTACACATCGTAATAACTGTATATTACCACTAAGCTGGTATGGTGAGTCCAGACAATAACAGGCAGAGGTCGTCACACAGAGTCAGCTGACACTCCCTCACTCGCTTGTTCAAGGCCAGACGTACTAACATTCCTCCCTCAACCATACTGTTTGTGGTGTTATTACACTATATACACACACACACATTATATATATAAATATCTACATGTTTTATTCACCATAACTGTACAACTAAGCTGGTATGGTGCCCAAAAAACAGTGACCACCCTACACAGCATGACAAGTCATGCAGACGACACTACCTCTCTCACTAAAATGGCTTCTCCCAACATACTCCTTTTGCTGTTATTACATTATATATGCACGTTATATACAGGTATCTACATTTGTGTTCGCCATAATGAGCCACTAAGTTGGTATGGTGAGTCAAAATAACAAGCAGTGGCCACCACACACCAGCCAGCAAACGCCACCACCTTCCCTCCTTCACCAAGTTTACTCCTCCCACCATACTATGCACAGCATTAATTATCACCACAATCCTGCTATTATCAGAATTGTGTTTATTTTTATCAGTCAGGGGTCTTTTGTAATACTATTATCGTTAAATAATAGCAGGTACATTTATATTTTGACATTTTTAGGCGATGCTGTGGCCACAAGTTGAACAGCAGTGCTGTTAGCTCATGCAGTGCGCGCCAGCCTTGGTTGCTCACTCAGTACTGAGGCTCTCAAACCCGGGAATGTATTTGTATTTGATACTTTCAGTTCATTCATATACTTTTTGTGAAGTGTCCTTTATTTATTTATGCATTTCTACCACATCTACCAGGCGCCTGACAGCTGAGTGGACAATGCTTCGGATTCGTAGTCCTGATGTTCCGGGTTCGATCCCCGGTAGAGGTGGATCTTAACACTTTCGCGCTTTCCGCGAAGGTCACTCAGCCAACCGAATGTGCGCGCGGCGTTTTTATCGCTTAAGCGTAAAAACAAAAATGTGTATACTCTTTTTACTCTTCTGACCTTAGTTCTCATGCTACGTATTTCATTTTGGTACCAACGTGTTCGCAATAAAATTCTCTAGAAGAACATCAGTAAAAAAAGTCACGAAACGTATAGGGATACCAGCACCAAATAAATAACTACGAAGATGACTCGCCGTGAGCGCCCATCAGCAACAAAATGTTTTTACTCTTGGGATTGTAATCACCTCCACACTTATTCTACAGCGTTAATTTTGGTATCAATGGACTCGCAATGAAATTCCCAACACGGTGATATGAATATAAGCGTAGAATAATGATGCGGCCCGCCCGCAAGAGTGTGGGAAGTGGTGAAATTGTTACCCGGTATCGGTGACGGGACGACGCACGGCGCTTTGAAAGTTTATACTTATTTCACTCTCATGACATTAATTTTCTATGTACGTCATTCATTTTTGTGTCAATGTGTTCGCAATAGAATGTTCTATGTGCCCATAGGTAAAAAATATCAACAAAGCGTAAGTTAGAATAGCGCCAAATATAAAACAACGCTGGAACATATCAGTGAGCGTCAAACACACACGAAATGTTTTTACTTTTGTTATGTTTGTCAAGTTTATACTTGTTGCACACAGTTATTTTTGGTTGTATATTGATCGGAATAAAATTCCCTAAACAGACATATGCATATAATACATGATATGGGGGAAGCATTACCAGTATAAACGGCTAAAGTCACCCACCTGCAACCCGTTTGGGACAAAATACCATTTGATCGAAGTTATCCACACCTTTCATGAACTTATTGTACCATGCAGCCTAGTGGTGAGAAAGAGAGCCTCATAGCGCGCAGTTTGAAACAAACCCAAAGTAAATCGGATAAAAATTGAATTTTATACAAATATTTTAAAAGAGGACTCAACTTTATGTCCACTATGCGTTAGCGTTAGACGAAACGGGACGCGCCGGCGCGTCCAGATAGCGCGAAAGTGTTAAGATGACAAACCCAGGTAATCTACTCTTTACCATCTTCCAACTTACTTTAACCATATTTTTGTTAATTCTCTTCTTACTTATGAACTAAGTCCTAATCCAATTTAGTTTTTCACCTCTAATGCTGTGTGCCTCAACCTCTTACATGGAACTGTCTGCAACCTTGCAACAGAATGATCACATTGATCTCTACATCAATCTACTTCAATTAAGCTTAACTGTAATGATGGCGAATTTGTGTGGTGGGTCTCTTATTCAAATATGCCAAGATGATGATAAACTTAATTTATATCACAGTCTGATGTACCTTCTCCGCAATTATTGTTAAAGTAATTGGGTACTAATTAAGGGTTAGGGGGGCCCCCCTTTTTTAAAATCAATGCCATTTAACCTTTTTTATTTATTAAACACGCTTCATTTCTAAAATTAACTATGATCATATTGTATCCTGCAGACTTGCACACTTATTATTTCCCTTCTTTCCTATGAGCTGTTGCTGCCACATCACGGGAAAATTGTAAACGGGGTATTTATTATAATTATTTTATCAAGCATTCTTCTCATAACACTGAAACCAGTCATGTCAATATTTACTTTACTTTCAGCAATTTTATCCACTGGGTGTAAATTGAATCTTTTGTGCAATCGCCAAGCTAATGTTTATATAATTTTTAAATCTAAATTTGTGTTAATTTGAATCCATTACATTCTATCTATCTACATTATATATATATAAAAAAGAGAAACATGTCTTAGCATTAAAGGGAAGAAATAACGGGCCGATGGGTTCACAGCTAAATCACACACGTGCATATGCAGGGAATATAAAGCCAATTGCACCGAATATTAATGGGCAGTGTGCTCACCTCACTTTGTTAATACAATATTCATGGGGTTGCTGCAACATTTCAAGCTTACATTATACATGTACCTGCACGGTGTGTTGGGTATAAACAATAGCTACTTCACAAGGGCCAATACTACACTTGCAATTTCCTATATCCTTATGAGTGTGTAAAGAATTTAGAATAGTTTAAACTCAGTGCACAAGAAGTGATAAGAAAAAAATGTTAGAATTAATTAGTTTGAGAGTGACTAGTTGAAATTTGTTGAATGACAACTCAAGAGGAAGTACGGTACTCAAGTCACAATCGACTTGAGAATGGTCCAGGATGGACCGAAACGTCGTCGTCCTTTCACCTTCTAGTGTGTGGTTTGGTCAACGTACTCTAAACTTTGTTGTGGGAAAGTGATGATAGATTATTTATACAAATGGCACACCCTTACCCTAAAAGAGTCCCTGCCACATCCCACTTACCTGATGGGTACCTGATGACAACCCATCTAGTCTGGAATCTGGCCTTCCACTTTGGTTTAATTTGTATTTTTGAACATCTTGGAATACCGGGCCTGCTGGACCTGACCGGTAGTTTCCAGGAAATACAGGTTTTGGTGCCCTGATTTGAGGACTGCCTGGTTTAGACATTCCTTCTGTAAATATCAAATGAACTGTATTATTGATTTTCACACATTTTTAAATTAGGAAATATACAATAATAAAAGTAATAATGCCAGTAACTGGCCACCAATGTCTATAACAGTAAAGTATATACATAATCTCAAAGGATGGGGGGGGAGGACAGCCACTAATATTAATTTGTGTGTTTATAATAAAGTTTGTCAGAGAACTGCTCACTTTCAGTACATTGTTATACAACTTTTCAAGGGCTCTCATAATAGTCTTCAGAGACTTACTTCCTGCAGCAGCTGTTCATCTTCTCTCTGATCGCCACACACAACTGAACCTTTGCCACTGGCTCGGAAAGCAGCCTCTAGTTTAGTTCTTGGTAATATTTTATACCCAGCTGTCACAAGCACCACTGAGGATACTTACCAAAACACCTGACACTGTTAATTTTAAGTACTATACTGCAATAATTCTGATCCAAGAGCCTTAAATCATTTCTCTCATTAACATTTTTGTATTCAGATTTGTTACTACATCAGTACATGCAGATAAATACATGTAAAAGGGAACCACTTAATATGCACCAACTGAAATCAGGCAATGCCTTTTACTTCTTCACTTTTTTTACTCAAATCACACTTTTTAAGCAGAAAATTAAAATTCTGAAAAATATAGATTTTTCCACTCCAGGATGGACCAGAACACTATCCATGCCTTTATCTTTAGATATGTGGGTTGGGTGTCTACATTCCTTATAATTCTGTAAGATGACATATATGTTCTACTATATATTTTGACCTAATAAAAAAACAAATCAGTCACACTAGCCTCAACAAAATACATACGACTTATTAATGAGTGTAGTCAATATTTACATATACAGGTGATGGACCTACTAGTTTGTTTTTTAGGTTCATTTCCTAAAATTTTCCTATATCTTAGGAAAATCCAAATAAAACACAAATTCGTATGGGTTCAGACTGATATGATCTGGAGTTTGGAGGTGTCCCTGTATTTTCAGTTTCAAATCAATATGAAAATGTGTTTTTTTAAGACATGCCAAGAAATTTTGTCAGAAGATGTACAAGGCAAAGCAATAAAATACACCTTCCAAAAATACCTTATAAGACAGAGTAAGCACAGCTGCCATACAATGTGCATAACCTTGTGATAAATAGAAATACCCAAACTGTATCAACATTTATATACAGTTTAGTACATGTAACAAATAGAGGACATGTTCAAATATAGTCCGAGACATACAGTTAGCCAAGTCAATATTTTACAATTTTACAGATTTAAGAATGTGATATGAAGAAATTATGAACACCTCTATTATTTAAATAGAACACATCTATTTAGGCCTAACATTGTGCAAATACTGTATTGATTATATTAGGAAAAAGATGTTAGGTTGGAATCAGAACACATTTGGCTCAGCCCAAAAAGGTGGTTCTAATTTTCTTGTCAATTTTTACTTTACAATTGTCATTAGCACAAGATATGAAATGTAACATCTGCACAAAACTATATTTTCTATAATGTTTCCCAGTCACTCTTTTTGTATTGTCATTTTGGAGGAAGGCATAGATATATTATACAAAACAGAAAGCATTTAAACTGATAACTTACTTAGGCATCAGAACCAGGAGTAAAGTCAGGTGTCTTGTTGTTGTTCTCGTTGGTACTTTGATTATTTAGTTTCACGCCGGCACAGCAGCCGGACTCCTTGCCCCACTTCTTGCAACACTCTTGCAGTGCGGCTATTTGTGCTTGACAAGCAGCTTCTTTGTAGTTATAAACTATGGATAGCAATATTACAACAGCTTAATTAATGTTATATAACCATTCAGTTATTTTTTATGTTTAGGCTGACTGTATATTGAAATGTACAGTAATGTTTATGTACGTATAGTACAATACTGTATGCTCAATATATGTTAGTACATGCTACACGTGGATTTAGAAAGTACTGTACAGTACTTATATAATGTACAGTATCACCAAGTATAGTATGTAATAATTATTAAGATACTATACTTCCTATTATTCTTTGTTATACAGTATATTGATAGTGTACAGTCTATATGCCATATTAGGAATAATGTACCATTTACTTATATGATACAGCAGAGTATTTAGCCTACCATTAACAGAAAGCCCATACTCAGGCTTTCTAGGGTCCCCTAGAGCAACATCTGGCCTTTGCCATGATGCAATAGACACATCAGGAAGTGTACTAAACCATCCCTATCCTGGCTGAAGATGCCCAACCACTTGAAGCTGGACGGTAGAGCGACGGTCTCGTTTCATGCAGATCGTCATTCAATCCCCTACCGTCCAAGTGGTTGGGTACCATTCTTTTCCCCCCATCCCATCCGAAACCCTTATCCTGACCCCTTCCCAGTGCTATACAGTTGTAATGGCTTGGCATTTTCCCTCAATAATTCCCTCCCTCCCTGGTTGAAGATGGAACACACAACACTAAATTTTGTTCCTGTTTAAGCTTCAACTCTTTCAATCTTACATGCATGTTCACTGTACTGTATTTTAATTCATACTTTTATCATAGTTACAGATATCTAGTGTGCTGTTCTTTGCCAGTTAACCTTTTGTGTATTCACTACAGTACTAAAAATATATAAGAAAAAGTGTTTCTTCTTTCCTAATAGGATACAAGTCACATCATACACAAGACAATGCGCCAGCCGATTTTGAAGCCTACCTCAACCTAACCTAACCCAACAAAGTGAAATACAGTCGAACTTAAGTTAATACACCCTAGCATAGCAATATACATGGTCAAACAGAAAACGAGTTTCGTGGAATCATCTCATGTTCGAAATGACCGTACCCCTCTAAATAGCAGTTCAAAATATGGAATACTGTAGTGAATACGGACAATTATACTAATAAAAACTTCATATTTATTTTATTCTGATATTGATATCAGCTTCTTAAATTTGGAGAGATTTGACCCTTAATTTTTACATATTATTTTCATTTAATTATTTAAGTGGGTACATTAATAAATATAGATGACACTAAAAATACTTTATCCGAAATGGTCTAAAACTTCTTATTTTACTTAAATATTTTTGGGTGTGATATCAAATTCTTCAAAATTAATAACTTTATATGTACAGTATAATAACAAGGTTTATCTTTTTATTAGGTAATACAGTAATAGTCAAATTTCAAATTTTAGTAATTATATCCATTCACAGAGTTTGTCAATACAGTAAAGTTTTTTATCAAGTACACAACCTGAGCAATCACACAAGCTTGTATTTAATTTAATCATTGCACTTAAGAATATAAAGAGGAGAAATGAGCATCAGTGTCAAACTCTAGACAAAAGAGACATCTTCATTCCAGACTTAATTAAAACTAAATTCTTGCCCTTACTTGGGCAACCAAGTAAGGAGCTATAAAAGTAAGGCGCCTCTCAATAGTAATAAAAGCAGCTCAACCACCATCCTTGCCTCCACAGAGTCAATAAAGCTTATGCACGACCATCCATACAACTGAACGTCATTCGTATCCTGATCAAATGATTATTCTGAACCCTTCTAAGTTCTAGTCGTAATGGCTTGACACTTTCCCAATATTTTTCTCCCCCTTGTCCTTCTACAAGTTCTTCAGATCTATCAAGTTCCTTTTTATTTGGATGCAGGCCTATAAGGGTGCTAGGCCAGAAAATACCACGGTAACTTTTCTTTTATTGAAGGTGACATTCCTAATAAGAGCATGGTCAAATAATAAGATGGTTCGACAAGGTTCATTTTTCCGACTGTCAAAGCTATACAAATCATCAGGTAGGACCTATTAGCCTAGGTTAAGCACAGTTAGTTTAGTTTGGTTTATGCTTGATTGGGCAACAATGCTCATTTTGGGCGCATCCGATCCCACGATCGTTGTCGCCCCTAAATCAACACAACAATGCTCATTTACCAATGATCAAAACTGTATACATCGCTAGGGTAAGCTAGCATAGCCTAGGACAGGCTGTGTTGGGTAATACTGGCCTAGGCTGGGTTGGTGGGTGCTAAAATGTTGTGAATAACCTTGTGTAGGTTGTGACTTGTATCCCACTATAACCACAAGTGTTTCACCAACATGAAGCGGCTGATAAAGCCATAATAGTGCTTCTACAAGAATGTAAATACCATGCTATGTATCCTCACAAACCCAATGTACCTTCTTGAATATAAATAAATAAATAACATACCCCGGTTCATATCTCTTTACCAGAAGAGCTCACCTCACCAAGCTAACATGCCCGTAGAGCAACCAAGATAACGTCAGATACGTGTATAATGTATATACAACAAGCATACAATATGTTGTATGAGTATAATTATAGTATTTAAGTGAGGGTGGAGGGTAGAGGGAGTTAGTGAGGCACAAGCCGGCTGGCTGGCTGCTGATGGCTGCCTCCCTCCACCACACACACTATACACTCCTACACTATACACCCCCACAACACCCGCTGGATGACACACTCACCCTTCAAGCAGTGCTGGATGGCACAGGCTTGCTTCTGGCAAGGGTCGCCCTTCATCACCCGCCTCTCACCCGCCTCCACACTCACCCGCACCCATAACTAATAACAACAACAATAATAACAATAACTAATAATAAATAATAAATAATAAATAATAATAATAATAATAATAATAATAATAATAATAATAATAATAATAATAATAATAATAATAATAATAACAATAATAATAATATTTATATCTGGGTAAATGGGGGGGGGGGGGACATGTGACAAGCTGCCGGCTTCCTGTCCTGATCGAGGCCACTAGTGTTGGTGACCCTCGGGTCAAATTCTTGTTCTTACAAGAGTTCTTACATATTTGTAAAGCCTATTTTATGCGTATTATTAGGTATGTGTAGGTATTATTGCTCCTTAATTCTAATTTTCCCCTGGAATACGACCCGCCAAATAGTTTAACAACCAGCGTACCCAATCACTGCTGGGTGAACAGAGGCTACAGTTAACGATTGGTGCCCAGTCAATCCTCCCCGGCCAGGATACGAACCCAGGCCAAAGCCCTCGCGATGCGCCGGGCGAGTGTTTTACCACTGAGCCACGGGGACAGGATTGTAAATGTTAGCCAAAATACCGAAAAATAACAAATATTAATTCATTCGTTATGTCAGCGGACAGGCAGCCAGTATATATATATATGTCTCAGACCCTGTTGGAATATAACCAGTCTGTCAATCGGGTCAACCCAAGTGTTGCGTTTCCATGCGTTTCCAAAAGGGTCGCCCATGTTGGAATCGGTGAACGCCCTAGTAATATTGTTGAAAACATCTTAATAACTTATTAAACTAAAGGTATTTTTATGTCAGAAGAACGGCAGAAACTGGATCTATATATGAAAACTCTTTCAGGACAAAATTTAAAGTAAAACTAGATTAAAGTAAATTTATGTTTCTATCTTTCTTGAGACGTGTAAAAATCTTACGTTTATTAACGATTCTGCGTGAAATAAGCATTGTTCTGAGATGAATATTGCGGATTTCCGGCTCTACGACCGATGAAAAATGCAACTTTTATACAACTACAAATATCTTTAGTTTTACTTTAAATTTTGTCCTGAAAGAGTTTTCATATATAGATCCAGTTTCTGCCGTTCTTCTGACATAAAAAGACCTTTGGTTTAATAAGTTATCAAGATGTTTTCAACAATATTACTAGGGCGTTCACAGATTCTAACATGGGCGACCCTTTTGGAAACGCAACACATGGGTTGACCTGATTGATATATGGGTCAGATTCCATTAAGGTTCGGGACCTGCCCGAAACACTACTCGTACTAGTGGCTGTACAAGAATGTAACAACTCTTGTATATTTCTCAAAAAAAAAAAAAAAATATGGAAAAGCTGATGGAGCAAAGGATCCCAGAGTATGTACCGAGGTGGGTTTGGGCGTGTTGAATGAATGGATAATAGTAGCAAGTAAAAAAATAAATACAGTAGTAGATAATAGATAAGCAAGTGTGTGTTGGTGTGAATTTGAGGTCTTGAGATGTTGGGATATCTTGAGGTCATCTTGAGATGATTTCGGGGCTTATCATCCCCGCGGCCCGGTCCTCGACCAGGCCTCCTTTTTGTTACACACCCCCAGGAAGCAGCCCGTAGCAGCTGTCTAACTCCCAGGTACCTATTTACTGCTAGGTAACAGGGGCATCAGGGTGAAAGAAACATTTTTCCCATTTGTGTCCATCTCCACCGGGGATAGAACCCGGAGCCTGAGGACTACGAATCGGAAGCGCTGTCCACCCAGCTGTCAGGAGCCCTGACAGGATAGGAGAATAGGACCAAGATGATAGTGGGGCAAACTTAGTGAGGAAGCAGGAAATGAGTGTGAATAGCAAATGGGTTATGGAAATAGTGGCTGGGTGGAAGCAGTTTGTAAGGATGGAGTGCATGTACAGTATTTGATTATGGTGGACAATTCATGAGATAGCACTGTATACAGGTCTTAAAAAGCAGTTGGATACTGCTTAGAGTGAGAGATGAGTGCATGTCTTTTTTTATATTTACATAGTTTGAATGATGCAATGAATGGAATATTGTAGTGGTTTTATTTTTTTTATACCTATAACCTGCTAGAACAATACAATAGTTTTGCATTTTTTCTTCTGGGCTAATGCTGCCCCCTCCTCATAAGTCTAAAACAAGATAATTAAAAGTTTTGTTACTAACCAATTACTTTGGCTTATGAAATTTATATAATATTCATTTTTCAGAAATGGGTGAACATAAGAACATAAGAACAAAGGTAACTGCAGAAGGCCTATTGGCCCATACGAGGCAGCTCCTATTCTATAACCACCCAATCCCACTCATATACTTGTCCAACCCGTGCTTGAAACAATCGAGGGACCCCACCTCCACAATGTTACGCGGCAATTGGTTCCACAAATCAACAACCCTGTTACTGAACCAGTATTTACCCAAGTCTTTCCTAAATCTAAACTTATCCAATTTATATCCATTGTTTCGTGTTCTGTCCTGTGTTGATACTTTTAATACCCTATTAATATCCCCCCGGTTATGTCCATTCATCCACTTGTAAACCTCTATCATGTCACCCCTAACTCTTCGCCTTTCCAGTGAATGCAACTTAAGCTTTGTTAATCTTTCTTCATATGAAAGATTTCTAATTTGGGGAATTAACTTAGTCATCCTACGCTGGACACGTTCAAGTGAATTTATATCCATTCTATAATATGGCGACCAAAACTGAACTGCATAATCTAAATGGGGCCTAACTAGAGCAAGATATAGCTTGAGAACCACACCAGGTGTTTTGTTACTAACGCTGCGATTAATAAATCCAAGTGTCCGATTTGCCTTATTACGAACATTTATGCATTGATCCTTTTGTTTTAAATTCTTACTAATCATAACTCCCAGATCCCTTTCGCAATCCGACTTCGCAATCACAACACCATCTAGCTCGTATCTTGTAACTCTATCATCATTACCTAACCTCAGAACTTTACATTTATCAGCATTAAACTGCATCTGCCAATCCTTTGACCATTTCAAAACCCTATCTAGATCAACTTGAAGTGATAGTGAGTCCTCCTCCGAATTAATTTCCCTACCGATTTTCGTATCATCGGCAAATTTGCAAATGTTGCTACTCAAACCTGAATCTAAATCATTTATATATATTATAAACAACAGAGGTCCCAGGACAGAGCCTTGAGGCACTCCACTTACAACATTTTCCCACTCTGATTTGATTCCATTTATACTAACTCTCTGTTTCCTTTGGTATAGCCATGCCCTAATCCAGCTTAATATAGCACCCCCAATACCATGAGACTCTATTTTTTTAATCAGTCTTTCATGTGGCACTGTATCAAAAGCTTTGCTAAAGTCAAGGTATACAACATCGCAATCCTTACCACTATCAACTGCCTCAACAATGCTAGAATAAAAAGATAACAAATTTGTTAAACATGAACGGCCATTTATAAAACCATGTTGCGACTCAATTATTAATTTATGTTTTTCAAGATGAAGACGAATTTTATTTGCTATTATAGATTCGAGTAACTTTCCCACAATAGACGTTAGGCTAATTGGTCGATAGTTAGACGCAAGTGATCTATCTCCTTTCTTAAAAACTGGTATCACATTAGCAACTTTCCAAAACTCTGGCACTCTGCCTGACTCTATTGATTTATTAAATATGGTTGACAGTGGGTCACAAAGCTCCTCTTTGCATTCTTTAAGCACCCTAGCAAACACTTCATCCGGCCCTGGGGATTTGTTTGGTTTGAGTTTTACTATTTGTTTAAGATCATCCTCCCTGGTAACTGCTAAACTCGTCAACCTGTCCTCGTCCCCACCCACATAGACTTGTTCGGCTGAAGGCATATTGTTAAGTTCCTCTTTAGTAAATACAGATACAAAATATTTATTAAAAATACCACTCATCTCTTCATCACTATCTGTTATTTGACCTGTCTCAGTTTTTACTCCCTGGGTGTACTGGGTGTACTCCCAGAAATAGCTAAGGCTGTAGAAGAGATGGATTGGATGTAAGTTTGCTGATTCTCTTGTACATTATGTAACGCTGTACTCAATAAAGTGTTTCAAATACTGTACTGGAGTAAATATAGTTGGTAAATAATAATTGAAATGGACTAGTAGTTTTATTTGCTCTTCATTGGGTATGGTATGATATGATTATGCACTGTATATTCCCTGTAAATACTATAGAGAGATTTAAAGTAAATTGTATTGCATGGAAAACTAGTATGGTTGCAATATTAACTTTGTTTTAATGTTTTCATTTGTGAATACTTGCCCTAAACATACTTGTATTATACATACTTGTCTAAGAAATGAGCCCATGTACTGTGCAGCTGTTTAATATGATACTTCATGGTGCACAACAAAAATTATACCCAATTTTTTTTAATGTTGTTAAAATTGCCTCCCTGATCATGTAAATGGAAAAACAATTACAAAATCTAATTTGTCACAATGTCATCACAAGATGTTGAGCACATGTGCAGGAGTGACTCGAAGCTGATCTCTTGGGTGATTCAAGACCCGCGAGTTGCCACAGATACTTTTCTTGTGATTTTTATCGAATAATACTATTATTTATGTTTTCGTGTACACAGTAGAACATGTGTAATGTTTTAATAATGATAATAAGTGTCACTAATATGTCCACAAAAAAATGGTCAATATTACATGTTAAATTTTCACTAATATTTACTGTCTGACATACTCTGAAATAATGTGAGACAATGTACAATGTACTTACACCATAATACTCTCTCAGTACTTCATGAGTAAATTCATTGAAGCACTCAATACAGTAGTACACATGGTAACTTTTGCATTCTGTGCACCAGGTACATGCTGACTTTCACTAATCGTCTTTTTGCATGCTTGTGAACATGGTACTTGGGTATAAATTTTGCAAGTCTTCCTGTACCCGCTATGTAACCAAACTTGTGTAGTGTACAGTAGTCTATGCAGCTCAATCTGTCGGTAGCAATGTGTACATCTTCTGGCACAAAACTTGGAGAAGTTTAATACTGGAGTTCCCACTTGTGCAACTTTCAATGATCAGTGGGCTCTGACTCTGTCATTTTCTTCATCAATCTGCTGCAAAATAATGTTGATTTTGTAGTTGTGATGTGCATTATGCCTCGCATGCAAGTCTTGCATTTTTCAATATTAAAAAGTATTTGACAGTCTTCCAACCACTTTTGGATTTCATTTAATCTTTTTCTTTTCTCCATTTAATTCAATTATAATTTTTACTTCCCACTTCACCATAGATCTTGGTCATGTGCAAATTTGATAATGTGGTTTGTAATACTGTATTCTCATTTGTCATAGATGTATTTGACAAAAAGGGTTGGCCCCAATATGGAACCCTGCAGTACAGTGTACTCAAGATTTCTCCAGTTGAAATCATATCTATTAAGGATGACCCTTAACTGTGTTTTAACCAATGTTTTATTCGTCCTAGTACAGTATTCTACTATTTATTGCATGTGCTTGTAATTTCCTCGCCAGTCTGTCGTGTGGTACTTTATTCTGCTCATTACTTCGCTAATTTCTGAGCAGGAGGTTGCTGGTAGATCAACCGCATCTTCACTGAACTGAATGATTTTTGGTCTGATTCGCTTTTCGTCATAATTCAAGCCGGATTATAAGTTTTTGGATTTTAAATGTTTGCAAATTTTTAAGGGTAAATTATAGACTCTTCAGGTATATCTAGAACTAACACAAACATTTAATTACATTCATTAATTAATTAGTAATTTTAGAAATCATTAAGTATAAAAGATTGTAATCATCTAGGTGGACACAGGAAATGTTAGCCCAAAGCTTGCAAAATAGTAAACTCATTATCTATTGTAACATTCATTCTTAGGTTGCCAACGGATGTCCAGAATGAGGCAGTCCCACTTATTTTGGGAGGTGGGGATGTGCTCATGGCAGCTGAAACAGGCAGTGGCAAGACTGGTGCTTTCTGTCTTCCCATCCTACAAATTGTCTGGGAATCACTTAAGGATATTCAGCTTGGCAAGACTTCAAAAGTTACTAAAGAAATATGCAAGTGTCCATTGCTCTTTTGTGCCTGTTTATTGCAGTACTGTACTTGATATCTGAAAATTATTATTATAAATGCTTTTAGTATACATAAATATAAATATGCATATACTAGTACTATACATAAATTTTAATATAAATAGTATTAATATAAATAGTATTATTATAAATGTTGTTACTCTAATATTATACTGTTATTATTCTTTTCTTTTTTCTTTTTGCAAAATAGCTCCTCTCTGGTTGATGAGCTTCTTTGACCGTGACGCAGGAATGGCTGTGACACCTGATGGCTTGCGGTGCCAGTCACAGGATCCTAAAACATGGCAGGGTGCCCGTTGCACCAAGGGTGTCACTGGCAAGGGAAAATATTACTATGAAGCCGTTGTGTCGGATGAAGGGTTGTGTCGTGTCGGGTGGGCAACTCCTCAGGTAGGCAGTATTGCTGGCACCTTTGTTCCTTCAATTTCTTTTAGCTGCTGCTGAACATTTTATAGTTCAGTAGAAATGGTAATACTGTACTATAATGTATTCCCAGTGTGAATACCTAGTTATGACTTTTACTGGATTATATTATATATTTTTAAATGGTTTCTGTTCCATATCCAACCCATCCTGTTTAGATAGTAGTTTCTGGGGGGAGCCCCGGAAGCTCCGGGGAGCCTCCGGGTCTCACCCAGAAAATGGCGTTTCATTACATTCAACGCTGGTTTTTTGTGACTGTGCACCATAGTACAAATTTTTGCTGTAAGGCATTGACATAATAAGCAATTAGATAGTAGAACTTTGTACTATTCACTTTATAGATAAAAAATTTAGCTAAAAAACAAACTTAAATATTCCTAGGCCTAGTATAGCGAGCATATATACTATATTATGCCTTGAATAACGGATTTGTCCTAGGAAGGTTAGGTTAGGATAGTTTGTCTTTGCAGCACAAGTAGAAAATGGTGTTCGGTTTGTGAAAATTCAATAGTATTTATCATAAATATTATTAGAAAATAGAAAACATATCAATTTCTACTTTCTAATTGTGTTGTACATCGGTATATAAGAATGAAGGTAACTGCAGAAAGCCTATTGGCCCATATGTACATGTATAATCATCCTCATCCTTCCTATAAGTACTATTAAAAAAGGTGAATGGGCTGAATATCTTATTAATGCCATTACCTATCAACTTGATATTACACAAGTTACTATGGTGTAAAGAGTTTAAATTTAAATGGGGCAGTGTAGTTCTCTAGCGACTTCTTGGATCAAATCTTGTGCATATTTTCCCAAAAACATAACCTAAGGGCCAGTTTTCTGCATTAATCTTTCAAAATGGTATTCATAGAATTGCTTCAGAACTGGTACTATGGTAGGTATGATTTTGTAGTGAAGTTTTCACAAGTAGTCATATCATAATCAACCTTATTTACTTATATGCAACTCCTTTTGTTCTAGAGATTGCATTTTTTCATGTGAATTTTCATCTTCATGTAATAATAATAATAATAATAATACAGTAAGCCCTTGCTTTACATAAGCAAATTTCATGAAAACAAATTTAAGATTGTAAACTGTTATAATAGCTGCAAGCCTCTCCATACAAAACTTCCAGGCAGCATTTGCCCCAAACTCTCCATATTAACCAACAAATTCAATCCTTGAAATCAACACAACTGCCAGGAAAGTCGGCACCATATTTGAATGCATCGACTAGCACATCCATTGATGATGATGTACAAATATTTGATGAAGTCAGACGAATCGAGGCATAGTTGAGGGAAATGCAGCTGCACTCTGCATATCAGAAAATGACTTGTAATTACGAAGCAATAAGATGCTTATCTTAACATACTAAGAAGGTTAGGTAAGGTAGGTGTTTTCTATGAAGCTTTTCAAGGTAAACTAAAATATTCACAATAAATTAGTATGTGACATATGCACGTATTTAATAAGTCAATATTGACTTAAGGAAGTGCGAGAACGGGTTGGAAAATGACTTGATTTTGGTCTATTGAATATCATTTATTAAACATGGTTACACGCCAAAGAGAACACTGGTAAAGTTAAACCCAACTGTTTGACACCTCCATCCTGGAAACAGCCATTGTTTCCAAAATGGTAATGAAAGTGAGTAAATATTTTATTTTTATTTTTTTGAAGGGGGGGTGGAAGGAACAGGCATTGAAGTCCATTTGGAAAAGATAATTATGCAAGAATTTAGTGCAGAAAGTTGGTAATACAAATTAACACTTTCGCACCCCCTTCGATGGTAAAAAAAAAAGCGGTATGTGCGCGGTTCGTTTTTGCTGCGTAAGCGTAAAAACAAAAATGTGTATACTCTTTTTACTTTCCTTACCTTAGTTCTCGAGCTACGTATTTCATTTTGGTACCAACGTGTTCGCAATAAAATTCTCTAGAAGAACATCAGTAAAAAAAGTCACGAAACGTATAGGGATACCAGCACCAAATAAATAACTACGAAGATGACTCGCCGTGAGCGCCCAACAGCAACAAAATGTTTTTACTCTTGGGATTGTTATCACCTCCACACTTGTCCTACAGCGTTAATTTTGGTATCAATGGACTCGCAATGAAATTTCCAACACGGTGATATGAATATAAGCGTAGAATAATGATTGCGGCCCTCCCGCAAGAGTGTGGGAAGTGGTGAAATTGTTACCCGGTATCGGTGACGGGACGACGCACGGCGCTTTGAAAGTTTATACTTATTTCACTCTCATGACATTAATGTTCTATGTGCGTCATTCATTTTTGTGTCAATGTGTACGCAATAGAATGTTCTATGAGCCCATAGGTAAAAAAGATCAACAAAGCGTAAGATAGAATAGCGCCAAATATAAAACAACGCTGGAACATATCAGTGAGCGTCAAACACACACAAAATGTTTTTACTTTTGTTATGTTTGTCAAGTTTATACTTGTTGCACACAGTTATTTTTGGTTGTACATTGATCGGAATAAAATTCCCTAAACAGACATATGCATATAATACATGATATGGGGGAAGCATTACCAGTATAAACGGCTAAAGTCACCCACCTGCAACCCGTTTGGGACATAATACCATTTGATCGAAGTGGTCCACACCTTTCATGAACTTATTGTACCATGCAGCCTAGTGGTGAGAAAGAGAGCCTCATGGCGCGCAGTTTGAAACAAACCCAAAGTAAATCGGATAAAAATTGAATTTTATACAAATATTTTAAAAGAGGACATAACTTTATGTCCACTATGCGCGAGCGGTTAGGGAAACAGGACTCCTCGGTGAGTCCGGTTAGCGCGAAAGTGTTAATTAATAATAGCTTGAATTTATTATGATCATGAATATATAGGATTATGAATACTGTATAGCATTATTGAATATCGAATCATGTCCAAACAAATTCCGTGACTGGTGTGATCCACTTGCACGGAGCAATTTCGGTGAGATAGCTTCAGGAGGGCCACTGGACATCTACCGGAAAGAGGCATTTCTTTACATTCATTGCTGTTTTGTTTTTTCTCCTTTCAGAGACATTAAGTGAGGCGGTGAAGCTGCTGAAAGGAGAGTACTGCATTAAGGCTATTGACACACACAAAATGGATCAAGCACTAATATTCTGCCGCACTAAGTTGGATTGTGACAATTTAGAGCGCTATTTTAATCAAATTGGTAGGTGGCTTGAATTTGTAAATCTTTAAATAGATTAAACCCCTACACTGTGTGCCTGTTACTTATACTAGTAACAACTCCATGGTGTGAAAAAAAAGTTCTTTAATGTTAAAATAATCACTGAAAAATAATAATTAACATTTAGTTTACTTTGGCTGTGGTCGAAAGAAGAAATATCTCGGGCACAATTTGGAGACATTGGTGGATGAGATTACCAGGCATAAAGGTTCCCTGGGTGACATGAGTTGCCAAAAATACATTTACATTATTTTAGTGTTACTGATTTTATTCACTGGTATTTTGCAGCTATATTTTGCAACAGTGTTTAACTTAAGAAATTTCTATAATAAAACATGCAGAATATAAATACACATTTGTATCACTAATATACACACACAGTATTATATTCTATGAACAATAAATTGTGCTGGTTTTTGCTATTATCGCATTGCATACACATTCTATGTACAGTATATCTACATACACTAATATGATCCACTAATCAGTTCTGGTAGGTTATCTTAGAGATGATTTCGGGGCTTTTTAGTGTCCACACGGCCCGGTCCTCGACCAGGCCTCCACCCCCAGGAAGCAGCCCGTGATAGCTGACTAACACCCAGGTACCTATTTTACTGCTAGGTAACAGGGGCATAGGGTGAAAGAAACACTGCCCATTGTTTCTCGCCGGCGCCCGGGATTGAACCCGGGACCACGGGATCACAAGTCCAGCGTGCTGTCCGCTCGGCCAATCGGCTCCCTTTCCGGGCGTGGTAATCTAGTAACCAGTGATCCAAATTCAGCTTAGTCCTGCATATTTTACATGAAGTTGTAACAGCACGCATTGAACATAATACATTTTATTCATATTTTGAATGCTTTTACCATAGTTTTTCAAGGGCAATGATGCATTGGGCTGTTAGTATTATTTTATTATTTATATACTGCAAACTACTACTGAATTATTGCTCAGAATGAATGTACGCAGAATGTACTATTGTACATCTAGTATTGGGACCCATGTGCAAGAGAGATGGAACTTTCACAGATGACATCAATGACATGAGTGAAATTAACCTCTGGACTTTGAAGTAGCCATAGACAGTTCGTGCAGTCTGTGCCAGGCCATGATTTCTGGAATTGCATATTCATCAAGAATGGTAACACATTATGACCTCTTCACTTCCAAAGGATACCTAATCAACCAGGTTGTGATTTGTATGTCAGGCTGCAAGCAGCTGCATCTAACAGTCTGGTTGATCAGACCACCAACCAAGAGTCCTGTTCGGAGACCAAGCCCGCAAGGACTTTAATCCTGGGAACCAACACACGGTAGCCGTAAGGCAAGATACATGGGTATCTTGCACATACCCATGTATAATAAATACAAATACACATGTATTTGTTACTAATATGCACACTATTATATTCTTTGAACACTAATATGTATTATTTGTACAGTTATTACAATGTATATACACATTATGTGTGTATACCTACATTTTAATGCAATATTATGAACCACTAAGCAGTTCCAGTGGATGATATTCTTTTAATGTAGATACAACCACAGCATAGTCCCACATGCTCATTTGCTGCTGGCACATGACGAAGCAAAGTGCCACCTGATGCACTACAGCACTAGCCAAAACAGTGCTCTTATGAGAAACCTGGTCAATAAATCCTGAATATGAATAATTTTTCACATGTTCTTTTTCTAAAGGAGCATGAGGTCCCATTACTGATGCATAGGTGCACTAACCTGTGGCTGTCTCTCTTACTGTAAATGTCATAGCCAGCATTGGATTCACTGATATCTGAACCTTGTACAAAGTCTTTAACACTGTCAGGATCATCTATATAACACGATCATTGTTAAATTAAGTTATTTCGATGTTATTAAGTGATGCTGTAGGCACAAGCTTCATGGTGGTGTTGTGAACTACCACTGTATGCACCATTCATGGTCTCTTTCACTACTGAGCTCCTCACAGCCAGGAGTGCCCATGATTTTTCCCCAAGATGGCATCTGGTTACTTGTGGTGTGAGGAAGCAGATGCAAGCCCCTCTACCTGCTGGAGTTTAAAATCTCAGGCTATACATAAAATTGGTCCTTGTTGATGTATACTGCTGATGAAATGACCTTGGTTGATTAGTGAGGTTAAATATTCCTCATAATACATAGTCTCATGAAATATAGTATAATTAAAATTGAGCCTATGGAGCCCATAGAGTGGTATGAGATTAGTGCTTCATTTAATTAAAATACTGTAGTTGATTTATAGGAACATTTGTCATCCTTTATCATTGTGCTAAACTAAACCCTGACTGCCCCAAAACTTTTAACAGGAGAAGGGGCCAATAACAGAGGCAATCCATATTCGTGTGTGTGTCTCCATGGTGACCGCAAGCCTAATGAACGCAAAGTGAATCTCCAAAAATTTAAGGATGGTGGAGTGAAGTTCCTTATATGCACTGATGTAGCTGCTCGAGGAATTGGTAAGTTCTTTTCGTTGCATGCATTGGTTTTCTCTTGGGGAAATTCTCTATATTTTAAAAGATGCCTGAGGATATGAGGATATTGTTAAAACATCCAAATGTTTGCTGCAGATGTTGGAGGACTGCCATTTATAGTCAATGTTACACTGCCAGATGAGAAGAGCAACTATGTTCATCATATTGGGCGTGTGGGTAGAGCAGAGAGAATGGGTATAGCTATCTCCCTTGTTGCTGCTGTGCTAGAGAAGGTTAGAGTTTTAAACCAATATTTGCATTCTTTATTAACTGGTAGTAGCCCCTGACTTGACATTATTTTACATTGGCTTTCGCTGTCCTTATTTTCACTATTGTAAAGATGAATTCCTTAAACCTAAGTAACCTGTGTAAAGTCTCACATGTAGACTTGTTGTAGCTTGGTTAATATTTAAAGAGGAAAGAATGATAATGTAATTTATGGTATGTTGCAGCTTTTTGCAACATTGAATACTTTTCCATTGGATACTCTCCTATGTGCACACTCCAAAAAACTCCTTCATATGTGACAGTTGTATGAAAGGAACAGGAAAATCTGAAGTCTCCTTACAATAGTGTCAGTCTAGAAATGACCTAAGTTTAATTGCAGGATGAGAGCTATGCTCATGGTGTCCAGTCATCCTAGTACTTTGAAGCTCTGAAACTACTGATGGTTTTGGCATCCACCACCACCTAACATGTTCCAACCATCTACCACAGTTTGCAAAAGAGAACTTCTAATATTTTTTCCATCACCTTTGTTTTCTTAGCTTAAGTCTGTGAGCTCGTGTTCTTGAAGTTGTATGGCAGGTTTCAAGAATTCCTCTGTCAATTTTATTGATTCCTGTTACAATTTTGTAGGTAGTGACCATATCATCTCTTTTCTGTCTTCTAGCTTTGGTATATTTAACCTATACCCTGATGTAAATCAATGGGCCACAGAAAATATGGTATTTAATGAAGATAAGTTCCAACTTTTTCGCTATGGAAAATAAAAAATATCAAAACGGAAACCATGTACAAAATGCAGTCAAATCATACCATAGAACATAAAAGGAATATAAAGAATTGGGGAGTAATCATGTCAGAAGATCTTACTTATAAAGAACACAATAAAGTAGCAGTCACAATTGCAAGAAAAATGACAGAACCTTTCAAACAAGAGATGCTGTACCAATGATGATACTTTTCTAGGTGCTAGTGCTTTCTAGAGTGGAATACTGTTGCACAATAACAGCCCCGTTTAAAGCTGGAAAATTGCTGACCTGGAGAGCATGCAGAGATCCTTCACTGCCAGAATTCTCTCGATAAACCATCTAAATTACAGAGACTGACTAAAAATGCCTAAATCTGTATTCTCTAGGGCACAGGCAGAAAAGATACATACTAATTTATACATGGAAAATATTAGAGCTGATTCCAGATCTGCACACAGAAATATCACACGAAACCAGAAGGCATGGCTGGATGTGCAGAATACCCCCATTGAAAAGCAGATGTGCAATAAGTATTCTGAGAGAGAACTCTATCAACATCAGAGGCCCGAGACTGTTCAACACTCTTCCACTACACATAAGGGGTTTAATGGGCCTACCCCTCGCAGTGTTCAAGAAAGAACTAGATAAACACCCCCAAAGGATCCCTGATCAACCAGGCTTTGATTCGTATGTCAGGCTGCGAGCAGCCGTATCCAACAGCTGGGACACGGACTGGTTGACCAGTCCAGCAACCAGGAGGCCTGGTTGGGGACCGGGCCATGGGGAACCTTGAACCCCAGTAGCCAATTAATTGGTAGCCTCTCCTAGTAGTTCTTGGTTCTCAGTTCTGGAAGCCATTTAGCTGCATGTCTTTACATTTTTTCCAGTTAATTGCTGTACTTTTCAAGATGAGCTCAATGCTACTGCATAATTCAATTTGGTCTCCCGAAGGTCGTGAACAAGTTCTTTAATATTTGTCATGCATGTATTTATAAGTGAATCTGAAATTGGAAATTGCAGAACATGTTCCTCACACAATGTTCTTTGTGATCCTGTTGTCTTATAACCAATCCCTAATCAGACTTCGGAAGAACATCCTTGAAATAACACGTTCCTTGACATTCCTGATAAGTCTTTCACGAGGTTCAGTATTAAAGGCCAAGGGATAAATTTAAAAATAGAGTATCAATTTTGTATATTCTTCTCTTGTTTCAGGTGTGGTACCATGGAGAGTGGTGTTCAACTCGTGGGCGTAACTGTTTTAACACGCGGTTGACAACGGAAGGTGGTTGTTGCGTTTGGTACAACGAACCACAGGTTAGTCCTCAAGAGATTTTTTTGTCGTATTTATCTTTCACATTTGATATATATAGAACATCATTGCCTACTTAAAGATTTGAAAGGCTCTAGTCTAAAACTGATACAGTATTAAAAAAAATATTAGAGCCTAAAAGTGATAAATTCTGATTAGGAAGTCAAGTACTTGTATGTCTCTGGCGCTTCCCCTTAGTGATGCAAGTGCACCAGGTGATTAACAGCTTTTGTAATTTGAATGTGTTTTTTCCTCCTATTTTGAATCTCTTCTTTTTTTTCTTCTTTTTTCCTCACTTTAACTCCCAGTGTATGTGTCCCCCTATTCCTAAAATATGTATTAACAGTAAATAACTTCTTCGTGGCACAAATTCTTCAATCTACATACTTCTGCAGCACCAATAATGCCAATTACATTATCTCAGAGGCCTCTTTACTGTATTTCAAATCACTCCTTACAGATATTCTGTAGCTTCTGGGTGTCATACTGATCTTATTCTTCAAGCTATCTGAATAAACTTTGGCTTCTCTCTCTGCAGTGTAAACGGCACCCTTTACCCTTTCAAACATAAATTTAATTACATGTGCCTAGGACGCAAAATTACTGTAGGTGTGAATCGGTAATAAAATGCCATATCTTAGATTTTGGAACCATTTATTGCTTTGAAATTGAAATAAGTTTATTGAGGTAAAATACACACAAAGGGATGAGGTAGCTCAAGCTATTCTCACCCCGCTCAGTACATCGTGTTAATACATACATACACACATCACAAGCAATAAACGTATTACCGAACATTCTGAGAGATAAACATATACATTTCCTCCTCTACACAAGTAATTTATTGCTTTAGAAAAGCCAGAATAAAGAATTAATGATTGGAAGGAATTGGCAAGATTAGGCAGTGTTTGTTCATATGAGTATAGTAGGGTAGTGACAGATGTATACAATGGAAAAATACCAGTATAATATTACCTTTCAAGAGCCTCGGTCCATCACTACATTGAGAATCACATTTTACACTGAAGTGCATTCAAAATATTTTGTTTATAATGTGAATTAAATGTTAGGCTGTGACTGATACCCTTGTTATTTCACTAGTGATCTTTTTCTTATCTGGACCACTAGTACCTAGCTGATATTGAAGAGCACTTGGGAGTGACCATCCAGCAGGTCGATCAAGAAATGAAAGTTCCAGTTGATGAATTTGATGGCAAAGTGATTTATGGTGAAAAGAGAGCCAATGTTGGTAAGTTTTCTTAATAGTGTTTAAAATTTATGTGCAGTACACTATTTGTTCTTATTCTGTATGGGGAATGTTGTCACGACACACTATACTCCCAGTTGTTCCATGTTCTTTTCTGCATGCACTTTTGTAGCTCTTGCTGCTCGTTTTTCACACTGATGTGCTTACTGTCACAGTGCTCAACCATTCCTGTCATTGGTGTTTGTTATTACAAGCATGCTTTTAATTACTGTGGCTACAGAAGTGGCACAATTTTGTGCCAAAGTTTAAAGTGCTCAAGTTATTAATGCTTGAAAATGCCTTCTTGTGATAAGGTTCTACATGATGCTGCTCCCTAGGTGTTAGTTCTTTAGTAGAACAAGGGATGAAATTAGCAAATAAATGATTATGCATTTCTATCTTTATTGGAACTAGAAGGTTTATTCAAGGGTAAACATCACTAAAGCAGTACAGCTACATGCTATTTATTTGGAAGGAAAATATGTACCTATATTTAAGTATTATTGCTACACATACTAACTGTAAAACAGAACCAGGCCTTTTTTATAAATTTATTAAGAGCAAGCTGCATTTAAAAGATTAAATCCAGAGATTGAAAATAGGGAACAAATACAGAGGGAATGAAAAAAAAGTATGAAACATTAAATGAACAGTTCCAATATGTGTGTTCTCGCCTAGTTGTGCTTGTGGGGGGGTTGAGCTCTGGCTCTTTGGTCCCGCCTGTCAGTCAACTGGTGTACAGATTCCTGAGCCTACTGGGCTCTATCATATCTACATTTGAACCTGTGTATGGAGTCTGCCTCCACCACATCACTGCCTAATGCATTACATCTGTTAACTACTGACGCATGGTGATCGCACCTCAGTTTACCAGTATCTCTTGCCTAGTAACTATTGCGCCTGAATTCTTTAAAAAGCATTACATTTGTTTTGGGATTTTTGGCTATTTAACATAAAATTTGTTATTATATATCTTGCCATGAGTCCCAAGAAAGCCAGTGGTAAGGTTCAAGCCAAGAAAACACATGTGAGAATGACCATAGAGGAAAACAAGAGAGCATTCATAAACGTCAAAATGGTGCACAGATTGTTGAACTAGCTAGGCAGTACAACAAATCTATGTCAACAATATGCACTGTACTTGCTAAGAAAAAGGACATTATGAGCGTTAAAGTGGCAAAAGGCATATCAACAATCCCGAAACAAAGAACACAAACACTTGAGGATGTTGAAAAGTTTTTATTAATTTGGATACACAACAAAGAGTTAGCAGGTGATAGCATTTCAGAAGCCATCATTTGTGAGAAACCAAGGCATTTGCATGAAGACCTTTTAAAGAAAACCCCTGGAACGAGGGGGAAAAAGATGAATCAAGTTTGAAAATGTGAAAAGTTTGTGTGACAATAGAGCCTCGTGGAAAACTTTTGCTGTGGTCATTACCTGGTGGAATGCACCCAGGATGGAGTATCAGGGCTATACATCTTTTAAATCATAAAAGTAATAAACATTTCCCATCAACCTTACAAACCATATTAACCTATTTTCATGTATTTCCCCCATGTGCATTTTAACAAAGTTACTAAATTGCCTTTATCATTCTGTAAAATTTCAATTACAGTATACTGTATATAATTTTGTTAGTATAAATGGACTGAATATTCTGAAATCACTATTAATTTTACAATTTCAGATTCAAAGGTGGTCTGGACACCCAATTTGGTCAGACAGGTGAAGAGAGCATTTAGGATAGTTCGAAGAGATGAAGATGGTCACAATTGTGTTTGAAGAGGCAAACACCCCCCTTTGCTCCTGACATTATGTTCAGCCTATTGACCCCTGCACACCTAACACAAGGTAGGTTGAAAACTCCTTCATGTCATTGGTTCATTAGCCAGAAACTTAGGGCCCATGCAGGAATATCCCTAAAAAAAAAAAGTGGCCCCAACAATGCATCCTCCAAGTCTGGAGGATGAGCAGGAGCATTGTCGAGAAGCAGGCCCTTTAGTGTCAAACTTTTCTCTTGCAGATATTTTTTGATGGCAGGGCAAACCACTCTACATCACAGTTTTTCTGCACGTTATATATTTTTTAAAACTCTTGGATTTTCGGAATGATACACGTGCAAGGGTTTAATTTTCAAATCGCCACCCAGCACAAGAGTTAGCCTATCCTGACACAAGTTAGCCCAAGTTAGCTTGTGTCCAGGCAGTGACGTCTCCTCTTGGGTAATGTATGTCCTCTTCGGCAATTTTTTCCAGAATAGCCATGTCTCCTCACAATTAAACACTTGTTGTGGAATATATCCATCAATACAGTATCTACAAAATCTTTAAAATCACGAACAAATCTTTCTGCCCCTACTTTGTCTGAGCTGGCACCCTCACCATGCCTCACAACACTATGAATACCACGTCTTTTTTCAAAATTTCTCAAACCATCCCCTACTCACCTTAAACTCTTTCGTATCTGCAAAACTCGTTCTAGGGGTTTTCTTTATAAGATCTTGCATGAAGATTTCATTGTTGACCAAACCACACACTGGAAATTGAATAGACGACAACATTTCGATCCGTCCTGGACCATTATAAAGTCGATTGTGATGAGATGAGGGAAGCAAGAGCATTAAGTAGGCAAGAGAGAGAGGTGAGGAGATGGCAAGTATGTATGTATGTACATGAATAAAACATGTACATACTTATACATAACGTGTGTAAATAGTGTAATAAACACAATAACAGTATTTTGGGAGGAGGAATGTTGGCGAGTAATGTGTTGGAGGAGGGAGGGAGGACTGGCAGGGTGTGGCAGCTCACTCATGTTTTTTGGGCTCACCATACCAACATAGTGGATCGTTATGGTGAATACATACGTAGATGTGTATATACAATGTGTGTATATAGTGTGATAACAGCAAAAACACTGTTTGATTGTAGAATATGTCGCATATATGAGGCCCATAATTTTGAGCTTAGCGATGTTCTATACTTTGAATTATATAAATTCCACAAATTACACACTTTTAAATAATATTACAGTAAAAAAAGGAAGAAATGAATTGAGAAACTTCAAAATAATTGCGCAACATTTTATTCGCAGCAACTGCCGTCGCACGGGGTGGCGGGACCGACAGACCCCCATCGCTCCAACGCTCAGCGCCCATAATTTGCTCAACTTCCCAGCTCCATCGCAGCTAAAGTAAGTCGCATACAATATTTTTTGTTTAGTTTCCCCGTGATCAGACTCTGCATTTTAACAATATAAGAAGAGAAAAATTTTTTTTGGAAAGAATTTATTTCTTGTGCACCAGGGTGTTATTTGGAGACAGAGCAGTTCAGTGGTTAACTACTAAATTTTTTTTTCTCCCACACACGCACCCCCCTAGGAAGCAGCCTGTAACAGCTAACTCCCAGATACCTATTTACTGTTAGGTAACAGGGGTCATCACCTTTTGTACAAAGAATCTGCTAAAGCTTTTAGGGCTAATCTTTGACACTCGTTTGTCTTTGTCGCCCCATATTTTTTACGTCCGAGTTGAATGCTCTAAGGCCCTTAACTAACTTTAGGTCATGTCCCATACTTCTTGGGGAGCTAATCGACACTGCTCCTCTCTTTACATTCCTCTCTCGTTCTGTCTAAACTCGATTATGGCCCTGTTTACTCGTCTGCTTCTCCTTCTACCCTTAACCATCTGGACACACTGCATCATACTGGGTTACGGCTCAGCTCTGGTACCTTTCCTTCGACACCTACCCTAAGCCTGTATGTTGAAACTGGCGTCCTGTTTCTACAGGATCGCCATGATCGCTACTGTCTTCTCCACCTTGCACGGTCCTTACAGCACCCTCACTCTTGCTTATGTCATGCCTTGACCTTTACCCATCCTGTGGTTCCTGTTCCCCTTCACCACCTATCTCTTTCTGTACGGTTGTCTCTCTTACAAAATGCTCTTTCAGTTTGTGTTACCAATATTTCCCCTCGTGTCATTCCGTCTTTGCCCCTATGGAGGGGTCCCCGTTCCTAAATTCTGTAAGCCTTGACCCACATGACTAAAACTTTTACCACTCCTACAGTTCTAAATCACCTTTTCCTTGAATACTTTTCTTCACACTTCCACTCTATTTCCGTCTTCACCAATGGGTCTTAAGTCTGCAGACGGTGTAGGCTACTCTGTTGTTTTTCCTGACTGCACCTTTGTGTCTCCTGCCTCCGGAGACTAGCATCTTCATGGCAGAACTTTATGCTATTCTCTATGCTCTTCATCAACTCTTTTCTCGCTGTCAATCCTCCTCTGTGTTTGTAGTTGACACTTGCAGTGCCCTCATGGCTCTAGAATCCTTTAATCCAGTCCATCCTTTGGTAGTTGAAATTCAGCATTGGCTGTTTCTTATCTCCAGTAGATTTAAGACAGTGGAATTTCGCTGGATTCCCACCCATATTGGTGTGTTCTTAAATGAGCGTGCGGACACTGCCGCTAAGGAAGCTATCCGCACCTGTCCCATCTCCCGTAAAGGTATTCCTTATTATGACTTTTACCCAGTTATTCATTTCCCCATTCTTGCCCGTTGTCAGGGTTGTTGGTCTTCTGTTACTGGTAACAAACTGCGTGCTCTTAAGAGTAGTGTGTTCCCGTGGCCTTCCTCCTACCACCGTAATCGGTGGTGGGAAACGGCTCTGGCGAGGTTGTATATTGGTCATACACGTTTAACTCACAGGCACTTAATGGAGCGCTGCCCTGCTTCTTATTGTCCAAACCTTTGTCTCTACATGTCCTGACTTCCAGGACTTACGTGTCTTGCTTCCCGACCATCCCTCACTGTCAATTGTCCCTCGATAAAATTCTTGGTAAATTCAATCCCTTTGATATTGTTCGCCGTATGCGTTTTTGTTCTTGTATTGGCGACGTTAGTGATATTTAGCGCACTATGATTATCCCACACATTTGATGGTTTGATAATTACTGTACTGTACAGTACTTTGGTTTGGAATGTATCAAATAAAGTTGTTTCATGTATTCAAATGTGTGAGAAAATCCACTGGGGCTGTGAGATGAAGCGAACCTGTAACAAAGGCATTGCCAGTTGCATACTCTACCACCACTGATGGTAAAAGTCTTACAACTGGATGTTGACCAGACCACACACTAGAAATTGAAGGGACGACGACGTTTCGGTCCGTCCTGGACCATTCTCAAGTCGATTGTGATGAGGAGGTAGGGACAGGCAATAAATAGGCAAGAGAGAGCTGAGGAGGAAAGTCAGGTGTAGGGGATAGTAGTAATGAGAACTGCGAGGCAGCTCCTATTATAACCACCGAAGGAGATAGTAATAGGAAAAAGAAGAGGATAGCAAGGGAGCGTAGAAGACAATGAACAGAAAAAGGGTGAAGAGAGAAAGAAAAGGAAAGAGAAAGAAAGAAATGGAAGGGGGAAAGCTTATGTTAAGTCACGTTTGTTAGAAAGATTAGAGCATTTGAGTATATACTGTGAAAGGGAAGAGTCCACAGCAACAAAGCCAGGACTCAAGTTCATGTTGGGTACATTGTTTATAAGAGCCGATTCTACAAGACGGCGTCTGTGTAGAGTAGAGGCAGGAAAGATTATTTTGGAGGAAGACCAATCAATGGGATGATTAGAATCCCTCACATGGCAAAAGAGAGCATTGTTAGTGTCTGCAGACTTAACACTTCTCTTGTGTTCTTTAAGTCTGTCATTCAGTGTACGGCCAGTTTCGCCAAAGTATTGGAGAGGACAAGATGAACAGGAAATAGAGTAGACACCAGCAGCATTAGAAGCAGGAGGAGCAGTGTGAACTAGATTGCTACGAAGTGTGTTAGTTTGTCGAAAGGCGAGTTTAATGTCAAGAGGACGAAAGGTATTGGTAAAAGTTTTGAGTTCAGATATGAAGGGAAGGCATAGTACAGTGCTACTAGTGTTGGAAGCAGGTTTAGGATGAAAGAAATTTCGTTTAGCTTGAGAGTGGGCACAGTTCATGAAATGCAAAGGATAACCAAGGCGAGAGAATGATTTGTAGATAAAGGCAATTTCAGAATCAAGAAACTGAGGGTCGCTGATGCGTAGAGCGCGGAGGAAGAGAGAGACGAGGACACTTTTCTTAACAGAAGGAGGATGATAGGAAAAGAAGTGAATGTACATGCCACTATGCATGGGTTTACGGTAGACAGAGAAAGAGAACCCAGACACAGAGCTGTGAACATGAACATCAAGAAAAGGAAGGAGGGAATTAGATTCCCACTCAACTTTGAAATGGATAGAAGGAGCCAGATTGTTAAGAGAGGCGAGGAAAGGCTGGAAAAGATTAAGGTCATGAGGCCATAAAGCAAAAATGTCATCAACATATCGAAGCCAGAGAGAGGGACGAGAATTTCTAGTGTGTGGTCTGGTCAACATACTTCAGCCACGTTATTGTGACTCATCGCCTGCATACAACTGGATATCTTGTGTGACGGGTTATGGTATCACAGCTATACTGAACCAAGATGGTATGGCTCTCCCTCACATAAATGAAAGAAATGCTGCTATTGGCCTTGCAGTGTGTAAGTTGCAGGTGGAAACAAATGAAAATTATGAAATAAATAATTAAACAATTTACTGAAATAGTAATGAACAAAAATAACACATGACAATACTTGACTATCATGTAATGCAAAGGTGAACAAGTTAGTATGACCTTAAATGCAAAAAATAAACTATAAGCAATGAATAAAAGTATGAAGATATACTGGTGT